CATTCAATGTTACAGGAAAAAACTAGATACATGAGTCCATATGAGTCTGTCTACAAATGCATGATTGTTCTGAAATTAGCCCAATAACTTCTTAGATCTATTGTACCATCATATTTGTCGAATGTTGCATCTTGAAATTTAATGGCATTAAGGGCAATTACGATGTTTACTACTAAGCACGATTCATATTTGAGTCCATAATCACTCGTGTCACCTCTTGACTCTTTGAACTTCTTTAGTACTTCTCTAATTCTCATACGCCAATTGATATTTGCCATGGTGGAATGAGTCATATTGCTCTAGTTGGACTGCTTAAGGTATGTCTCATCTTACCGAGAAGCTTCATCTCTTCCTTTTTGCTACTCTACTATGTTCCCTTGGATCTGCTTTGATTGCGGTGTGGAGTTTTGGATTGCAAGTTATATAGGTGGATTAGGACATTTTTGGATTATGGATTTCAATTTTCTAGAAGTGGAGAGGTTGGCGTTGCTGAATTGCTATCGCCTAAGTGAATTACTCTAGAACACTAGGGAAATTATTCAAATTCGTTACCACTTAAGGATCGATGTTTACAATGGGAGCCATAGTTGTCGGTTATCTCCTGTAGGGGTGGCTCCATTATCGCCGCCATTATGAACCCGAACCTTGTTGACAATGAGATTTAGATTGTCAACAATCGTTATCAAAAAAGATCCATGAACAATAGATATGACTAAAAAAAATCCACCTACATTTCACACTCACCGCACTAATTGATAGCCTCTAAACTATTAAAGGCTATTCAAAGTATAATAGGGTTTGATGATTTGTTTGGTTCCTGTTATTTATATATATATATATATATATTCTTTGACAAATATTTGTGTTGTCCTTAAATTATTCTAAGTCTTTCACATAAATTACTATTGAATTCCTAATGAATATTTATATACTACCAGTATTATTAATGTGCTCAAATCCATCAATGAAGAACTTGATGTATCTCCAACAAAGAGACTCCACTCAAGTCCATTTGAGAAACAAGGGAGCATTTTTAATTAAAAAAAAAAAGAATTAAAAGATGTAAAAGAGATTAATTGAACTTGTTTTAAGAGAACACCTAACATGCACGGCATGCGAGACAGAGACATGACTCGCCTTTTATCAAAAACATGACAATTTAAATAAAGTGTGATTTTATAAGACCTTAGGGATTTGAATCGTCAAATGTAAGCTCCTGGTTGTAGGATTGAGCACATCTCAATTAAACCAATCAAATTAAACTAATCAAACTTCGTTCAATTTTTAACCCATGTAGCTTAATTCTGATTTTTGTTTGATTTGGTTTGACTTTCATGAAACTCAAAAAATAAGTTCAAAATTATAATGCTCCCTCCGTCTCATAAAGACCAATATATTTCTATTTTTACAAAAATAATGAAAAGTTAATTAATATACTTTGAACGATCAATTTTTTTGCCTATATGTTTCCTAATATACCACAACTATCAATTTTGAACAACTATTATTACTTCAACTCCTCAAAAATTTGGTGTTTGAATATATTAAATTGAGGGTAATATAATAAATTTACTCAATATTTATTCTAATTTAAATAAATATTAATTTATTTGATTTGCTTCAATTAGATTCGATTTGGTTTAAACCAAATCTACCCAATATTTACCCAACTTGGTGAGTTGAGTTGCATAATCCAGCGAAGATAATCGAGTATGAATATTATGTAATTCTGTTGGGTAGTTCTCTAGTAAGAGACTAAGGTATGTTAGGCGATTAGCCCACATTAGGTGCATGTTGGGCTCTAAGGGGACGAACACTCAGTGGACTTTTTGCTAAACATATTCAAATGTGTGATTATTAACTGTGAAATGCATAAATGCATCCCGGGTATTTCATGGAAAAAATGCTATGGCATCTTAATTTTTATTTTAGTTCGTTAAACACTTTAATTTATAAAATTACATCTTTTAAATACTTTAATTTGCAATAACATTCTATAAAATTTTTAAATTTGTAAAATTAGATCAATTAACATATATTTCATAGTTGAAAATGTAAAAAAAAAAATGATAAATTATATCAAATTAATATTTTTTTGCACGTAAAAATTAAAAACTCTAAAAGTTGTTACTAACACGGAGATGTGCACAATATTAGCAAAACCAGTAAGTTTAAGAACATAATAAGTCTTTCGTAAAAGAACATAATAAATTTTTCGTAAAAGTTAGAGGTGCTGCAAGAATTTTTTTAAAAATAAATACAAAAATGAATCTATGTATTTGGTCTATTATAATTAATTCATATTTTCTGTTTGCATAACAACTTTGAGCCAAATAGAGCTTGAGGTTATCACCTCAAGATCATTAGAGTACAACTAGAATTTCATATCTATATTTCTATTGTACAAAGTATATCGATGCACCAATGAGCTTTGGCTCATTTGTAAGGGTAGACATTCAGTCGATTCTATTTAAATAAAATCAATACAAACCGAATAAATTAAAATATCTTAAGATGAACGCTGAATTAAACCAATATATATATATATGAAAGTTGAAATAAAAAGAAAGTTCAAAACTCTCTCTTTATTCATTACTCTATTTTTCTTTTTTTAACTTTTTCTTATTTTTCTACATTTTCATTGGCCAACTTAATTAATTTCTTCAACTTAATATTTAACATGATAATTGATAATTTTGAAACATAATCTAATCGAATCATCTAACCTAATTTATCTTTTTTTTTTTTTTTTTTACAAAATTCTTGATTGGATAATGCTTTTAAATATTTGATTACAATATTAGTTAATATTAATGATTAATAATGATTTGAATATTACGTATATTTATTTACATATCTACATCATGTATTATATTTTTGAATTTTTTACTGTATTTTTGTTCAAATTTTTTATTGGACAATATTGTTAACTATTAAATATGAATTAACTAACATGTATTTTAAGATATTTATAAAAAATAATTTTTAGTTTTTAATTAACAATAAGATTGTCCAACTACAATTTCAAGACGTTTCGAATATATTTTAAGATTTATTTATGATTTTGAAATTCTAATCTTTTTCTTTATATATATATATATATTTTAAATTTTTTACACCTACAGCTTTTTAAGTATAAAATGAACTTTCAATGCTCTTTTTTCTCTTTGATTTTGTCTCTAAACTCTTTCGTATTAAAAAATTTGTCACTCTCTCAACTATTCTTGAGGTAAGCCATTAATTTCCATGCCCTTCCAATTACACTCTCACTCTCTTCTTTAATGTTTTTTCTTTTAATTTTAATTTTTATTAGATATTTATTTATTTGGCCATTTGAATATTCTTTCCTTAAGATTATATTTAGTAGCCAATTATAATATTTAATATTTAATATATAATATTAATAATTGATAACTTTTAAAATATAATCTAATCTAATTAAAATTTTAATTTTTAAGTTTTTAAATTTTATATGATCTCTATCTTCTTCAACCAAGTTAATTCACATTATTACTTTTTTCATATCTATAAAATAAAAATCAATAATAATCATTTCCAACTATCCCTTCCCAATACCACTGCCACCACTTGATAATAACAACCCAGTTAGCTACGATTTGAGTTTCTTTGTGAATTTCAGTCATCTTTATTTCTCCTCTAATTAAATTACATTTAGGTTTTTGGTATTTTTATTTCTATTTTTATTTAATGCAATTTAAAAACTTGAACTTTTGGCGTAAACTTTTACTATTTTCAGGTATGGATTTTATGGAGATGTTATAACAGAGAGTGAAAAATTCTGCTGGACAGGCCCCAAGCGATATGATTATACAGGAATACATGTGTTTTTGAGAAACAGATCATTCTCTCTTTTTTTTTTTTTTTTTTTTTTTTGAGCTTTCTTTGTGAATTTTCAGTCATCTTATTTCTCCTCTAACTTAAATCTACGATTCTAGCCGTTTTTTGGTATTCTTTTATTTCTATTTTTATTCTTAATGCAATTTAAAAAACATCTGCAACTTTGGGCGAAACTTTTTACTATTTTCAGGTATGGGATTTATGGAGATGCTATACACAGAGCAGTGAAACATTCTGCGGACCAGGGCCCCAAGCGATTACTGATATACAGGACATACCATGCTGTTTTCGCAGAAAACAGATCATTCTCTCTTTTTTTTTTTTTTTTTTTTTTTTTTTTTTTTTTTTTTTTTTTTTCCCTTTACCATTGAGCTTCCCCAAATCTGAACAATTGTATTTTATCAGATTGTGTTTCTAATATAATCCCATGGTGCATTTTATTTTCAAATTTGAATTGAACCAATTGGATTTTCTCAGGCAATAAATTATTGGTGTTGTCGTATTCTAAACATAGGGTGAATTTGAACTGCATAAATTTCTAGTTCCGATCAACATGATTAGTTGATTATATTATGTGAGTTTAATATCCATAACTTCTTTGCACTTTTTCTCGTTGAGATTTTCTTTAAGTTGTATGAGGCAGAAGTAGCATACATAGAAACTGAAGCAGAAAAGACAAATCCAACAACGGAAAGACAAATCAAACTGAAGTAGCACACATTTTAATTATTATTGTTTTGATCAAAATAAATAAAATATTGTTTTATAATATTATTTAAACAATGTCACGCCCTTCGGTGGAGATTACGACTAGTTCGTTTATAAAACCAAACCAAATATATTTTTCAGTGAATTTAGACTAATTTTTGAACTAAATGAAAATCAAACTAAAAATTGATTTTTCTTTTAAAATTGAAACCCAACAGAATCAAACGAAATCAATTAATTTAGTCCATCTTACCCCTAGTTACTTGTAAACAATACAGCCTTAGAAATAAAAATGAAATAAAGCATTTAAGTCCTAAATCTTCTATTTTATTTTGAGATATTGCTTGCACTTACATTTATTTGTGTTTTTCATATCTTATAGTTATCTTGCACATGATAACAAGAAATGAATAGATTATACTGCAGAAAGCATCTGGAATAAAGTGCAGAAAGATCACATTAAAATTTATTAGAGAACTTAGAGCGACGGATACATAGAGGGATATACCCAAAAACCACAAAAACTCATTTTAGTTTAAAGCTGTTTTGCTAATCCTAAATACACATTCTGATTCTACCCTCATCTGTACAATCCTCTAATCCCAGTTGCACCAATCATAGGAAAATAGAAAAGCAAAAACTTTATATAGGTAAGAACAAAAAGGAGGAAACAACATATTTGACATAAGACCATGTCACTAATGGTTCCATTTGCAAGGCGTTCCAAACCTGCTAGAGCTTCAATTTGCAGGATCAATCCTTCTTACTGATCAACAGAACAAATGTTTGTCTTGGGTAAAACTAGGCATGCCATTTTATTCCCTTGAAACTTTTCGGTTCAGCGAGAATAGACATAATGTGAAAAAGGTCATCTTGTGTAGGTGGGAGTCATTTCATGCCTTCTGAAATGCGCGCGAAGAAACCCCATGAAGAAGCCTGACAAACCCCAAGAAACTTAGCTTGCCATCTGAATGTCTAATCCAATCTTGAAGAACCACATGAACTGGTACTGAGGGGCTAAGACCAAGCTCCTGAAATAAGAGAGAAATTTTGTACTCTAATCATTTGGAGAATAAAACTGAAGATGAAAAGATTACTGAGCACTTTCCGTTCAGTGGTTCACAATGCACCATTCACTAGCAGTATTTATAATCCAGCAGACTGACTCAGCATGGTCTGCAAGTAAAAGATTTACATCCAAGTGTTCTTGAGGAATGAAAATTAACTTAGACAATTTGGTCCATGGTTTTTGGTAGTCCATAATGGAGCTATTTAGTGATTAATTTCTCACATCTTGTCAGCTCCACAATAAATCCTTTGTTTATTTATTATGTGGAAATTTTAGACATATAGTTAAGTAAAACAGAATGTATGTACATATGAAGATAATGTGTGCATTCACATGCATAAATGCACACCCATTAGAAAGGGAGAGGGAAAGAGAGCATACAGAGGCAAGTTCCTCTATCATAATAGGTCTGTTCCCATCCTTCTCAAACAACTCAAAGGCACGCCTTGCATGTTGCTCCCAACAATCCATTCCTTCTAGCTGATGCACACTAATGGAAGCGGCACAAAATTCTTCAAAATCCATTTTTCTGTATTGAAGAGAACTAACCTGGAATGGATAAGAGTAGAAATTAGACACCTACCCAATAATATCACTCTCCTCAAAATTTATTTGGTAAAACTCCAGCCAAACAGTTAAACCAAAATAAATGAATACATAGTTTAAAAAATAATTTTTTGAAGCATTACCATGCTAACATAATCAAGGACCCTCGAGTCCTTCACTGCATCTGTGGAGTTCCTTATTACTGCCTGCTAATCCGAACATCATTCAGAAGGACACAAGAATATGTGAAAAGTACACAAGTTGGGTGGCAGCCCAAAAGATGGGTGGGAAAAGAGGTTACCGTCTTAAAGTTCGACATAGAAATGTATCCATTTTTGCTTGGCCCTAATAGGGTAAATTGCTCCCGGAGGTAAGCTAGCTGAGAGACAGTTAACGTCTTTGCCAGAGCCTGTCACAAGAATCACACTTATTATTATCCTTTTTTCACAAGTATCAGAGTTTACATCAAGGACATTACATGAAGCAATAAAAACTATTTTGCCACTAAAGCTAATTAAATTGTGAAAGTAAAAATAAGCCAAAAGTAAAGATAATGAAGGCACAAAAATATACATAAATATTAATCAGTCACTACACTGTAGAACTTACCCCCAGTGCAGATTTCCTTAGAGAAGACGAGCAAATATAAGCTTTTACAAGCTTGTGTACTATCATGTCCAATGGGATCTTCAAGTCATGATGATTGGCTAACCATGGATGACCTAACAAACAAATTAAAGAATAATTAAAATTTAACATATTGCCATTGAAATATACTCTGTGACTATATGATGGGTGATCAAATCAGGACTTAAAATGAAAACATGGCTTTAGCAACTTACTCAGGGCCTGAGCAGCAGTTAGTCTCTTACGATAGTCCTTGTTTAACAACCTCTTCACAAAATCTACTGCTTCAGGGGATAAAGAAGGCCATGGAGCTTCATCAAAACCTGGGTCTGCTTTGAGGACAGCTCGAAAGATGCCAGATTCTGTTCGCGCCCAAAAGGGTCGGCTTCCACATAGAAGAATATAAGCAATTACACCAATACTCCACATGTCTGCTTCAGTCCCATATGACCTATGCAAAACTTCAGGAGCTACATAATATGCACTTCCTACAATGTCATTCAACCTTTCATCTGCAAAAGAATCTAATAGTCAAACTCCAACCATTTTGCAACCAAAAAGATGAGAAGGATGATGAGTTTAGCTTAAGGCAGAATGGCTGACCTGGCTTCACATAGTCAGATAGTCCAAAATCAATGGCCTTCAATAAGGAAGTCTCATCCTGAGTACTGAAGAGAAAATTCTGAAGCAAAACATAGCACATGACAGTCAGAAAATAGGAATGAAGTTTGGACAACCTTTTAATATTTTTCTTTTATTATTGTGGAACACAAGTAGCATTTTAAGAAATGTACAGCAACAGTTACCGAAGAAGACTTATAAGTGGGGCTTGATTCAGGACAAAAGATGTGAGAGTCAAAACAGAGAACTAAAACCATCAGAGGATGGTAATATGCAATACTCATAACTATTGCTTGACTCAAAATGAAGATTTAACCAGTTATACCAAAAATACAAAAAATACAAATTCTAATTCTTCACTTCTATAATCCATATCTAAATTATTTCATGTGTTATCACTAGCAAATATCGCCATGACAGTCCTACCTTCTACATCTTGAATCTGTAAATTATTTTCCATATGAAACAGTAATAAATTCCATTTTGTAACCACTTTTATGAGAAAACTAAGGAAACACAGAGGAACAGAACCACAAATGCAAAGGACTGATACGTGCCGATAATGCAGACTATACATGATACAGCATCTAGGGGCGAGAAATCATTGGAAATTTTAGTGTCTTAATCAAAATGATATTCAAAATAATTATTTTATGAATGAATTACCTCTGGTTTAAGATCGCGATGAACAACACCTTGGAGATGACAGTAGGCAACTACACTTAATATCTGAACCATAACTGTCTTTGCATCTTCTTCAGAGTATTTTCCACCCCTGCAAAACATAAATTGGATATAGCCAGTTAGAATTTCAAAAGGACAAGGCAGAACGGTATGATAAACAAAAGAGCATTTGCAAGTAAATTACCTTGAAAGTATCCTATCCAATAGTTCACCACCTTTGCACAACCTAAATGATATAAGGCAAAAAATTGGTAAGCTCCAATTATTTAAAATGTACCTTCCAATGCTATACTATGACCAATTTAGAAACCTAACTAACAGGTGTATGTTTTCTACTTTGAGGGAAAAAAAGTGAAAGAAAGGTAACAGTAAGCAGATAGCCGAAGAACTTGCCGTTAGTTACTTAGCCGTGTCAAGTTAATTGCATCTCATACAAAATTTGATCAAGCCGTCATGATTTTGAACCAACAGAAACTCAAATATAAACATGATTGAAAGGTGAACAAGTGCATTGTAATTGTGAATGCACACAAAAAACAAAAGAATTTAATCCAAGCCTATATCACAACTTTGGAATTAAATATATCATCAGCCTCTTTGTTTATATAGAAAAAAAAAATTATGCCAACCCAAGAATAACATATGAAATGCCATTTTGAGAGATGCCCAAGAAAAGAGGTAACCCAACTTACTCCATCACAATGTAAACATTGTCATCATCTTCATGAGAATCATAAAACTGCACCAGGTTCTTATGCCCTGTTAGAGCTCGTAATATTTTCACTTCTCGTCTTACATCCTCGATTGCAATTGCGGTGGTCATCTGTGGCAAATTGTTCATTTTCATCAGCACAAAGCAAACAGTTATATTGTTATCAAAAGAGTCAGCCACCACCAAACAACTGACACTAACTATTAACAATCATGATCCCTGAATGATCTATAGAATAAAATAAAGATCCCTTGGCAAAGGAATAGACATTTGCTTTGAGAAGAAGCTAACAAAGAAGTACTATGTCTGCACTGTAATAAGATATTATATAGTCTCTTATGATCTAGAACAAAATTACAAATTACGTTCTAGTTATAGACTAACTGAGAGCATGAATTCCCATTAGTCATGCATTAACCACAGGCAAGTTAATATAAGTGCTTCCACATGAAATTGAGCATCCAATACTACATTAATGTCTTTCGTGTTAAAGATCAGCGATTAATCAAAAGCACATGATCATATGCAAGTTAAAAATGTCATGAGAAAAAATTACGGATGTCACTTTTCAGAACAACCCAGGCGTGTGCCTTGACGACCATGCTAAAGGTCAAAATCCTCAATAGCCATCTTAACAGCGACAGAGAAGACTTTAATATAACCCTAACAGTTGCAGAAAACTAATCCTTAAAGACGCTCGACATCAACAAAGTTCTTCTACATATGGATTGAGCTCACCGACACAGCAGAATTCACATAAAGTTAATAACTAGAAAACAGCTGCTAAAACATAAACCGTCAAATTTCGAAATTTTCAAACTAATCCATAATATAAATTAGCAAAAGAATTACTCGGGAGAGGCAAGAAAAAGTGAGAACTAAACCTTAGACTTAGGAATAACTTTGACAGCTACATCTTGACCTTTCATGCTGCCTTTCTTAGCCTTGGCAGAGCAAGTATACCCAAAATGACCACGTCCCACTTCCTCACCAAGCTCATAATGGCTTACAAACTGCTTTGAAAACCCAAAATTCTTGTCCAAAGCAATATCACATTCATTACCCTCAGGGATTGAGGCCTCGTTGGGCTTGACAGAGCCATGCCTTCGAGCAAGCAATGCACGAATATGCTTTGCAGGAGAAGGTGGTGGAAAGGGCCTCTTGAAAATTCTCAAAGGAGTGGAGCTTACACTTGATATTGCAGGTGAGTTCTTGAAAAGACTTGGTAAAGGACTTGGACTATAGAAAGGGAAAGTAGAGGTTTTGCTTGTTCGAGAATTTGGTGGCTTTGGATCACTTTCAATGGAGAGTGCATGATCATTGGATTCATTTTGCTGGGTCTCAATGGGTTTTCCGTGACAGAGTCCCATTGAAACAAGAACCCAAGAAAAGGCGAAAATTCAAGAAATCACTATTAAATCAAGAAAGTTGAAAAAAAACAGTGAACAATGAACTTCAGGAAAAGTAAAGAAGTGAGACCATTGGAAGTGAATTATATAACAAAGTAAAAGTTTCAAGAACTTCGAGGTGAAGAAAGAAAATTTTCTCAAGAAAAATATACACAGGAAAGAGAATCAAGAAGAAAGTGTGCTTGTGATTAAAGAAAAGAAAACATGAAAAAAAAAAGATAATGTTCAAGAATTTGAAGGGGAAAAGAAGGAAGCAAGGAAGGAAGTAAGGAATTTAGTTCAAGGATTTGAAGCTCAAAACAAAGAGGGAAATTCAGTGTCTTGAGTAAGAAAACTGAACTTTACAGGCTGATCAAAAGAACCCAGAAACGGTTAGCGCTGCAATTTCCCAAGAAAATGATCTTGCAGCAAATTCCAGATTGCAAAGGTAGGATATTCAAAATTAAAATCAAAGGGAAGGGAAGAAAACATCCAAAAAAGAAAGAAAGAAGTTTAGACTTTACTGATCAAAGAAACAAATGGTTAGATAGAAAGAGATGAGAGATAATAAACAAGAAGCAAATTATAGGAGAAGCTTGAGGAAAAAAATGAGAGAAGCGAAAGCAAGAAAAACCACAAGGTGAAGAAGTTATATTCCAAGAAAGAAAGAATGGACAGAGAAGAGAGAAGAGGAGGCAAAAGCACAGCAAAAGTGAGGAAAAGATGCTTAGCAGAGGCAACAAGAAAAGAGAAACTAAAAAATAAAAATAAAAATAAAAAAAGAAAGAAAAGAAAAAAGAACAACAAGGCTTCTTTTTTTTTTTTACTTTTTGCCAGCTTCTTTATTTTTTTCTTGTTCCTTCTAAAAAAAATTTCTCTTGCATTAATGGTTTATTAATAATTTTGTTATATACAATACAATGTGCGTATTTTATAGTATATAGAAAATAAAGAAATATCAGTTATGGATTGATAATGTATTGTTGCTCTCCAAATAATAATGGAAGTGGGGTTGGAGGGTTTGGATCCTTCCAGCCTGTCCTTATTGATCCCAGAAAACAAATATGATGGATGTGGTGTTTCATTTTTAATCATTCACATATTTATTTATTTTAATTCTTGTTATTAATGGTACATCAATTTTAATATTTTTTTTACTAAAGGAAGTTATTTATATCATATTTAAAAATTTTATAATTTATTTCTTTTTTTATTAATTGAGAAACTCATATGCCTATATAGACTGTGTTCGGCAAGAGTTTTATAAGTAACCTTAAGCTATTTTTTAATACTTATCTTGTGACATAACATTTGAAATAACTTTTACAGGTTAATATTCAATTTTTAGTTGTATGAAAACCTAAGCTTTTAACTATTAATAAACAGCTACTAGCTACCAAAATAGTTTATTTTGTCCAACAACTCCCGTAATAATATTGTGACTAAAGAAGTAAGATTCGTCTAACTCATTAAATTAGTAAAAGCTCTTCTAATTAATAAAATTTAAATTCAAAATTTTTCGCTCCTACATTTTTATAAAAATCGGAAAAAACAACCAAAACATATCTATGGGTATTTAGTAATTTACTTTTGAAAATTAAAATTTTACTAATAAAATAAAAAAATAGCCAAACTTATTATTTTATTTTCATAGATATTTGAAGTGTGTGTTAATGATACATGTGAAAACATTGTACGCTGTTAAGAAACTGAACTTCCATTGTCTTGTGTATTTCGCCTTTGAACTTTGACCTGCTTTTTTTGTTGTTGGCCTCTGAAAGTCTTCTGTTTTGTTTTGTTTTGTTTTGTACTTTTTCTTTATTTTAATTTTCAGATGCCACCAATTTGTATATATAATTATAGTATATGTTGTTTTCCGCTGGATAAAACAAAGATTAGCTAATAATAATATCATTACCACCTTAATCTATACTATAACAATCACAATCTATTATTTAACAAGATTTTTTGCTTTTAAAGACAAATTGAAACTTCTTCTCATATCATTATTTAAGTCAATAAAATAACATATATGGTAAAACGAGTTTTCTCCTATCAAATTTAGGACTAACTAAATAAAAAAAATTTTCTTTTTAATAATTCTCACATTTTTTTTCAAATTAAAATATATTATATATAATATACTACTTTATTTCTAAATCAACATATATATTTACTAAAAATGCTAATTTAGGCACGCCAGACATAGTTTAGTACATATACAATCTAACAATTGATACAGGTTTAACTCTTCTTCACCCATTACTACAAAAAAAAAAATGTTAAATTTAGGATGATTATAAATAAGTTTAAATGAATTGAAGCCAACTCGATTCAAGTTTTAAAAATTGAATTCAAATTTGACTCATTAAACTTATAAATAGTTCAATCAATTTTTTTGGGCCAAACTTCAAATAGTTCACACGAGCAGTTTAATTCATTTCATATTTAATGTTATATAATCAGTGGCAGATCTACTTTTTTTTTTTAATTTTTCTAACATATATGTGTATATTTGTCTAAATTAATTCATAAAGTTTAATTTATTTATATCTTTGACTCTCTTTTTTTCAAAAACTTATATAATGACACCAGAAAAAAATATTTCTAGATCTGCCATAGTATATAATAGGTATTATGTTTTTTCTCTTAATAAAAAAAAAAAAAAACCTTATCCCATTCAAGAAAGTTTTGAATATAAGACTTTTTAATTTATGATTCACAAATAACATTTTAATAAAAGAATAATTAGATTCTATAATTACAAAATCTTGAAGGTGTAAATTTTAATTGGTAGATGAAGCGAAAGATTTTAATCTTAATCCTAGTAATGAAGATTCATGTGTAAAACGTGTTCCTATTACTATGGGTGATGATACCAAATTGCTCTCGAAATTCTTCGCATCTTCATACTATTAATATCAATACTTCCATTGAATTGTGAATTTCTAAGCAGACTTTTGTTAACCTAATTCTGTTGAAATTTTCAATATTTTTATGCAAAAGCTCTTTGACCTTTCTTTTTGTTCATATTTGAACTAAAACATTATATTTAATGTGGTGATTGCTTCATCTAAAATATATTTTAATATAATTTTCACATTATATTTCACCAAAGAATTAAACTTTTTGATTTATAATTTAATAATTTACGTTGCATGTTTCATATAATGTTGGGGAGTGAATGCAATTGGGACAGGAAAGAAAAAAACAACATTTATTTCTATAGCAACTTGTATAGTACCGGTTTAAACGGTACTCAGTCTCATCCTTCTTTGATTGTGTGCTTTTCCTAAAAAGGTAGTTGCATCTACTTTCATGTCACTAAATAAAAGCTACCTGTTTTTGCTTCTCAATTTATATGAAAACAACCGAACTCAACAATTTCAGGTAATACAGACCCAAATAATTTCAGATGCCTGCATTACTTTGTAAATAGTTTTTAAGTATCAATATAAATAAATCTGTTCAAGTCAAGCTCGTCGAGCTCGTGTCTAATTTATTTACAGTTTTTAGTTGCTTAAAAAAATAGTAGATTTTTTTTAAATTTAAGCTCAACTGGTTAAATTTATCGAACGAGTTTTTTAAATAGCTCATAAATTGTCCAAATGCATATTAAAGGAATTTTGATTTCTCTCTATCTAATTTTCCCTTTTCAGTAAAATTTTTTTGGAATTGCAAGTTTAATCGGGTTTAATTGAAACAAAAATCAATTTTAAAATAATGAAATTGTAACAAATTATTTTTCATAGTTATAATAGAATTTATTTCTAAATATTAAAGAAAAGATATAAATAGTAGTATAATCATATTTATCTGTAAGGTTGATGCCTCTTAATTGTTTTGGATTTCCATAATAAAGTAGGTGCATCAACTTTTTCTTTTCTTGCGTAAAAGCTTAAAGATAAACAATACCCCATCTTTACTTAAGCTTAATTTGGTTCAACTATATTTATTTTTTAAGCAATTACTTATTAAGTCATAATTTTGCAGAATTATTTATTAGAATATTACAAATTTTTATTGATTTGTTATTAAAATATTAATACATATATAATTATTTAAAGTAAGAAATTTCTATTATTGTAATATTTTTATGATCTTATTAATTAAAGATTTTAATATCTTTAATTAATTTTCAATATTGAAACAAATAATGGAAAATAAATTATTTAAAAAATATTTTTCAAGTTTGGAAAATATTTTCTAAAGATCAATTATTTTTCAGAAACAAACGGTAGATTCAAGATGAAATTTACTAGAAGAATTCAATTTTTTTAGAGCTTTTATTCCTTGTACTCTTTCTTCTTTTTTTTTTTTTTTTTTTTACTAGAAGAATTCAATTTCTTTTAGAGCATTTTATTCCTTTTAACTCTTTCTTCTTTTTCTTTTTTTTTTTTTATGGAATTTTTTTTTTTTTTTTTTTTTATGAATTCCATTTGTTCATAATTCGATATTGAATGATGAGGAACTAAACCTCTTTTTATAGGAATTTTAATGTAGCTTAACTATTATTTTAATTCAAGTTCTATAAAGTTGATTTTCTTTATCTTACAATAGTCTACTTAGGCTAATTGTGGTTATTTCTTACAAATAAATTATTTTAATTGTCAATTTTTTCTGTTGGTTTAGAGCATCTTCGATGTAACGTCAATTATTTGATATATCACAGGGAATAAGTGCGAATAATGATGTGCATGAATGCCTATTTATAAATGTTAAATTTTTAAAATATTGCTTAAATGCACTCGTTTTGATTTCTCTTCCAAATGTCCATATTGTTTAAAAGAGCTTCTAGAAATAAAAGGTGTACTAGACAATGTCTTTTTTTTTTTTTTTTTTTTTTTTTTTTTTTTTTTTTTTTTTTTTTTTTGACATATCAAATGCACATACGAAATAAATATTATCATTGGAAAGCGTTTTTAGAAAATCTTTACATTTTTTTGACGTGGCCATTAATTTAAAACAATCCACGTTAGCATTGGAGGTGCTCTTATATAGGAATTTTTATTAATTATTAAAAATTTCCAGTGTCATAATTATGCCTTCATTAACTATTTGCTCCTTCATAATATTTGTATGCTGTTTTTTTTTTTTTTTTTTTAAAAAAGTCTAACTTTGATCCAGCTTACGCTTAAATCAACAATATATAACAATACATAACTATATATATATATAATTATCATATAATATACTAGTATATATATATTATATATATATATATATACACGCGCGCGCGCGAAGGCTTTCGAACTGATTATGCTATATAATATAATTGGCCAAATGCATTGATTTACATTGAAATTTATGTGATTTATCATGTAGCAATGTAAGTTTACATGGATCTATCATTATTTTAAACTTTCACATTTCAATAATTACTATGTCCTTCATCAAAATAAAAAAAAAAAAACTTTACAAGACTTTAATTATGATTTTATATTTTTACATTTTATTTTGGCAGTGACCATAATTATTACTGAAATATAAAAATGTAGAATTATAATAGGTCCTGTAAATTTAAGGGTACCATAAGACAAATCGCATAAAGATTAATAATAAATTTATGCATTTGAATTAATACAATTACAATTTCAATGTTGGTTGTACAGCAATAATACGTGGGTAGGAAGTCATAGGCACATGTCACATTTACATGTAAAAGTTGATACATAGATTAATTAATAAACTATGGTAGAAGAGTATATATAGTAAAGAG